TTTTTAATTAATTCTAATTCCTAATTCCTATTTCTTTTTCTTAATTTTAATCTCTATTCCTTCTTTCATTTCTAATTTTATTTATTAATTATTACTATTATTACATTATAATTTAATATTATTTTTCATTATTTCTATTTCTTATTTCTTTCCTATATTTTCTTTCTCATTTACCATTTTTAGAATTATTACATATTCTTTTATATATGTTATTATAAGTTCTTATAATATTATTATTTTCTATTTTTAAATATTCCTTATTTTCACTTATTCTTACTTTATTTTCCTTCATTCCTTCAATTTTTATTATAATTTCTCTTTTCTTTTATATTCAAGTATATTTTTATTTTCTTTTCAATATTTTACTAATTTTTTTTTTAATAATATAGGTTATACAAACATTCTATTGACTCAGTTTATTGGTTTTTTTATTTGAGTCTTTATGTAATATTTATGCATATTTATAGGTTTTCTTCTTTTCTTCTTTCTAAATCTAAGAGTCCTTTAATTATTTTCTTTTTTTAATAACTTTAGTTTTTATGCTCCTAAGTCTTGTGATTTAATCTGTAATATATTTTAGTTATTATTCTTTCTTCTAGTTATTTATAATATTTAGTTATCATATCACTTCCTGATTATTCTATAATATTTAAGTTATTATATCATATTTTAGTTATTATATTATGATTTAATTATTTTATTTTTTTCTATAATATCATATGATTTATATTACTATTAGGTTATATCATATTCCTTATGACTGTATTTTTTAAATGATAGTATCAGATGATTAGTATTATATTACATTATTTAGTTTATTATTCTCTTAATATTACATGATTTCTGGCTAATTGTTTTCCTTCATGATTCATTTGATTGATTATTTCTTAATTTTTAATTATTATAACTTCTCTAATTTATTTATTTTATTATAAAGAATTATATGATATGTTATTTTGAAATTTCTTGACTATACAATAGTATTAAAAAACTTGTTTTCTGCAAAAATAATAATACAGAATATTTATATGAATACAGATATAAGAAGAGATTTTTAATAAAATAATGATAATTATTATAATTATAATAATAAATAAAATAAATAAAATAATGATAGATGATAAAATAATTATATTAAATATAATTATGATAATTGTAATAACAGTAAAAATAGTGAAAATGTGATTCTAGTTAATGCAGTCTTTTAGTGATATATATGGATTATTATTAACAATAGAAGAAGATAAGTAAACCTTTAAACATAATTAAAACTACAAGCTAATGGAAATAATTGTTTTAATAATAAAAGTAATACTGCATTTAATATTTTTATTACTACAGCAAGAATATTTTTGATTTTACTGTAATAATTGAATATTAGATATTTTAAAAATCTTAAATTTTAGAAAATGATTGTAATATTGAATTTTAGTTCTTTACTCTTTAAAACTTAATTTCAGTTCATTATTTTGATTTTATTATTATTTTACAAGAAATTTTATTTTTTATGAAACTGAAAATTTTATAAATCATATGACAAATTTTTTGGATTTACAATTTTATACAATTTTTTATTAATAAAAAATAAAAAATATATATATATATAAATTTCATCATTTTAATATAACTAATGTGTATTCATTTTATTTATTCAATTTTTAAGTTTATAATTTTATTAAGAAAAATGAAAAAAAGGTGAAAAGAAACAAAAATAAATCAAATACTTTCATTATAATTATATAGCTGATGTGAAATAATTAGGTAGTAGATAACTAATTAAAATAAAAAAGATATTATATACATAATCTTATAAGCATATAAAGGTTACATGCTAATAATAGTAAAATTGTTACATCAGAGATTTTAACAAAATTCCTTAACTTTTTATTCTAAGTTTTAACTCTTATTTTTGAGTTATTACTATTGTCTCTATTTTTTAAAGAATAATTTTCTATTTTATTTATATAAAATTACAATTATAAAAAGACTATTAACTAATAATATTTAATATAAAATAATTTATAATGCTAAGATAAATAAATAATATAAAAGTTATAAAATATAATTTATCTATAATAAAAAATAAAAAATAATAAAATATTATAAATAATTTATTAGATAATATAAGTAAAATAAAATATTAAATATAAGAAGTTAAAAATGTTAATAACATTAATTTTTATTAATATTTGTAATGTAATAGGATTGACTTTATCAGATAAAATCTAAATTATATAAAATATTTGATTAATAAAGTGAAAAAACTAAAGTTTTGCATTTAAAATATAATAATATCTAACTTATATTAATTCTGACTAAGAATAAGCCTATAATTACTCACTTTTTTAAGTTGAATCAGCTTTTTTTTATACTAATTGATTTATTATTTTGAATAATTTTAGAATTAACTTTCATAATTTAATTTAAAATTATTTTTTATGACTTCTGAGTTAATTTTCATAAATTCAAGTTTTTTCTTACAACTTTCAGTAATTTTGATTAAGGTTACCACATATAATTCAGAGGTTTTAACAGGTATCAAAATCAAAACCTGTCAAAATGTATTATTTAACATTTTATTAAAAGCAAAATTGCAAAAGTTTTGATAAGTGGCAAAATTTTGATGAATGATAAAACTCATCTAAACTTTCTGATATTAAAATACAAAAATTTATTATTTTTATTTTGCAAGATGAGCAAATCATATATAGCAAAGCTCACTTTTTTAATATATCATATATTTATATATAAAAAAAAATCAAACAATTTACATATTGAAATTGAATCATTTATTTATTAATTATTATTTCTTCAATTAAAATTATGACAGCATCCCTATCTTTTTCATTCATTAAACTTCATTGGAAAATCATCATCTTCTTTATAAGGTAATTCTTCTAATTTTTTAACAAGTTCCTGTACTTCCAAATTTAAATCTTGCTCAATAAATAAATAATCGATTATTTTGGAAAATTTGTTATAATTTAAAATAATAACAAAAAAAAATCATTTTTATATTCTATATTGTGATACAATAAACCCGTCAAAACTTTTGAAATCCATTGAAATCCGTCGAAATTTTTGAGACTCATCAAACAAATCAAAGCTATCAAAACCATCGAAATCTATCGAAAACTGTCAAAATAATTTCTGAAAAGCTTCAACAATTGCCAAAATGGGTTTAGAGTTTGCCTTGAAACTATAATTCTGATAGAGGTGATACGCTTGAACTGTCAGAACTACCTGAAATGTTCTAAAAATGATTATTGTAAATATAGCGTATATAAAATAAATACTTTGCATAATATCTATTATATAGCATTTCTCAAAAGCATTTGATGCAGATTACATAGAACATGTATAATATTATAATTCTCAATCAAGTAATTTGCAAAATACTTGCATATAATGAGAATAATAAATTTATTTTCACAACTCTTAAAATTTTACTAACGAAATTGATACTAAATGACGATAAATAAACTACTTTAGAATATTTGTTTTCTTACAAAATAAAATAAGAAAGGCGAGTATCACTGACAATATTATTCACCTTTTTGTCAAAGTGAATTAGGAAATATTATTGCTTAGAAATATTTAAAACTTTTGATTTCACGTTATATTTTTATTTGTAGATCATAGCTGATAACTTAGATAATAATATAGTAACTTCAAATGCCTAACAATTATACGCGACAATTGACCACGGTATTATGCGACAAGAGATCATTGAAACAAAAATTTAATGGTGCAAACCACAAAGGAGCTTTATATTTATAAATTCTTGTTTATATGAATTATTACCTTCATTACAACGCCACCCAAAAAAAATATCTCATTCCGATGCAACTTACAAATGCATTTTAAGAAGTACTTTATATCTCAATTTCCAATTTGCCCATTTTAAATTGGGACAATGGTCAACTTGGGGTTCTCAATTTTCAATTTGCCCGTATTTTAAATTGGGGGCGATGGACAACTTGGGGCACCGCATGTTCCAATTTCCAATTTGTTTCAATTTTAAATTGGGACAATAGATAGTCAATTTGGGCCATCGCATTTCTCAAATTCTAATTTGCTCCAATTTTAAAATCGCCGAAATTGAAATTTGAAACTGGGGCAGATCCTTAATATCTCAGAACTGACAGTTGCATTATGTTGAATAATTTGATTACCTAGGCCTCATGAATTTAACTTCCATTATACTGGGCGATTATGAATAAAAATATAATGGTAAAGACATTAAAATCATCTAGAATTGACGCATACATACTTGTCTTTCCATCTAATCACTGTCGAGATTTCTATACAAAGATTAATTAATAATCCCGAAAATAAATAAAAAAAAAATTTTAAAAAAAATTCGAAAACAAAAAAGTACGAAAATTAAACATTCAAAGTTGAAATTTTAAATTAAATAAATTAAAACAAAACTGTAGTGTCAGTAAAGTTCTCGGCGAGATAATTCTTCTAATTGCTTGCGAGTTGTTTCGCAGACTATTTTCTTGTGTCGGTTTCATGGTCGTAATCATAGTTTTAGGATTAGAACTTAGATATTAATTTATTGGTTACGGATTGAGTTTAGCTTGAATTAAAGATAAGTTAGGTTGTCAATAAAAATAATACTCTTTATCCCCTTTTAAATTTTATTTATAAATTTCTTTTGAAAATACAAATACTTATCATTATTAAACCTATTATTTAATAAATTTTGCGTTAGCTAACCTTGGGGAAAGCTGTAAGTAATTATAAATAACGGATAATTTATTGTAATAGAGTTATTATTTTGAAATGACCGAGAAACGCTTTTTTTCAGAATCGAATGTGCAAAATAGGTTGCTTACTATAATTTTGTGGAAAAATCTCCATTGCGAATTATAATTAGTCTAATTCTTGTCATAATAATTATTTTTATTCGCATAAATTATGTACCAAGTACGATAAATATTTTACAGTATAAAATGTTAAATAAAGAAACGTTATTATCTACTAATACTTCCTCAAAGTTTCGAGTCAGCAATTAATTCAATACGCCACTAAAATAAAGCATTATGATAAATCATTTCGAGTATAAATGGACATATAATTGTAAAGTAAATACCTTATTATTTTCGTCATTTCCATTTCCATAACAAGAAACTTCTTGGGTTCCATCTTCCAATAATTTGGGATGACTATAAAGTGATCCATCAGTAGTTACATGAATTAGGCTGATTATTTCACCATTCGAAAAATAACACGAGTCATCTTTAGAACCATAACGTCGAATGACCCAGTCATCGTTATTATCTCTACCATAACAGATGGTCACTAAATATTATAACTTTTATAAACTTTAATTTGCAAGATGATTATTGTTAAAAATTAATGCCTCAATCATACCTTGCTGATGCTTCGAATCCGGTATGTTTATAGGATGAGAATTTAACGTCGCCTCCTCTGTCGCTTGATGCTTAAATCCAATAGTAGAATTAAATGGCACTGGATCACCCGTGTTTACACTCGTACCATAAGCTTCAATAACGATAAAGACGTCATTTTTCAAATCTAATTCCCGACCATTACAAACAGCCTTTGCAAGTTTATAAAAAATGTTTACAATTTTAAGTTTTTTAAATATAATATTATAAAGAAAAAAATCAAATTCGGAAAATACCATATATTGATTTGTATCTGAATATTTTACTCTTTTAGTAGTCAAATATTTTCTAGTAGGTACATGAACAAGGGCGACCTTCGAGCCATATTTAACTAGTTTATTCTGAAATAATAAAGTAATCGGAGTGAGCTGGATTAAATTTATGTTCATGATGCGAAATTTAAAATAACTTACATCTTCCTTCACTTCTTCGGCACATAAACGCCAGTTGAAATAGTGAACATTACTATTTAATAAGAAAGTTGATTAATTTAAAATTTTTTAGGTCCAGTTTGAATTTATTGCTATTATAATTCATACCAAATTTCACCATTAAATCCATTGTCGAAAGAACGTCCGATATATAATGGTCCTTCATTGAAAACAACATTTTCCGTTTTTACGTTCTGGATACCATAGAATCCGACCCATTCACCATCAATGTAGATGTCTAATCTCTTTTCAGAATCAGAAAGCGTATATGCTATATGATACCATTTATCCAACAAAAGTCCGTTACCAAAATCATAAATTCCTGCATCGTTAGTCCAGTTGCCGGTGAACCGAGCATGCAATGAAGATTTTTTTGGTACCAACTCGAGTGTAGGAGTACGGACAAACCGTTCGGTACCTAATTGTTTGTTTATTTTATTGAAATCAAGGGAACAAGATACTAATAAATGAAAGAATTGGAATTTCTTACCTTTGTGAAAAATAATAGCCCAACTGGAAGCATGACTATGAAGTTTTAGTCGTAATGTCACTGATAGTTCATCGTTCACCGTGGGTAAGTCAGCATGTTCAAAGACCAGTTGTGACCGTTCAACTAAGGTAATAGGGCCTGAAATAAGCTCAGCCTACTCTTTAACGATAAATTTTCTCATTTTCTAAAATAGGTGAATGGCGCTTAATTTCACCACCATTAAATCAAAAGTAGCAAATGCTTAAGAAAAAAGTAGTTTTGCATACCTAAAGAAATTGTAGTAAAAAGTTATGCTATGTAGTAAAACAGCCTTAATATATACGACAACCAAAACAAAAATGGATTTAATACTCCTGATAGAATAGCCATCATGACTATTAAAGTTAATAGGATATACAAAATCACGAACAATTTTTTGCTATTCAAGTTTGGTTAGTTTTAGAAATTATTATTTTTGGTTAGACTTTGTAGATCAATTTGGCTGGCCAATTTTAAAAAAACGTATCTTGAGGTAATAACTTATTTACGTTATTTAGGCTATTTTAAGCTATCATTAAGAAAGTCAATTTGAAAATCAAATTATAAACCTTCTGCTTACCTTACATTCGTTTATAACTTAAAAGAATTGCGCATGTCCCAAATGATCATTTCATAACCGATCCAAAGATATTTTTGCAAATTCTTTTTGATAATATTGGAATGGAATGTACTTTTTCTATCATATTAGGCCATGCAACTTCGATTTTTCGGAACACGCTACCCGGCCGGGTCACTTTTTCAAATTTTAACAAAAATTAGTTTATATATAAAAGTTTATCATGTGACTATAAAGTGTAATTTTATTGGTAGATTAAAGCTTTATTGTATATCGTATGTATAATTCCTTTCCAACTCATTAGTTTCAAGCAGCTTCCCAAGCAATACATTGTGCTGAAATTTTTTCTCCAACTAAAGTTTTTGATGGGCTAAACTTCATTTCAAAATCTGCTTCCCACCAATCAGGTGATAAATCAATATATTTCCAAAAAAAATCTTTTATTTTTGTTTATTTCTAAACCTTCCCAATCCTTTAGAACTTTAGAATTGTAACTTATTTTTACATGTATAATAGGCATTTTGACGGAGGATTTTGAAATGAAATGTGATTGTCGTAATATTAGGCCTGAAAATTTTTAAATTTTTAAATAAAATTTTAAAATTGACACGGCTCACCCGATTTTATTTTTCTTTTTCGTATGTAAGTTTTTTTTTATATGTATTGTTATATTCTGTTTCACACAAATAAATCTTATATACATAAACAAAGATAAATCTTTCTTTCGCCGTTTTCTTTTAAACAAAATCTGATATTCCGATTTTATTATGTAAGGTCACATGATAAAAATTTTACAATAAAAAAAAATCCTGAATTTTCGTAAACTGACACGGCCGGGTCACAGAATCCGAAAATTTAATTTGCACGGCCTTATTAATAAAAAATAATCATTAATAAACTCCGGGTCTCCGAGTCGATTTTAAATTTCAATTTTACGTGAACCGAAAAATCGAAGTTGCATGGCCTTAGACGTAATATGTTGAAATTCCTCGTAAAATACAAATCGAACATTTTTTGAGAAAAACATTCCATTAATAATTTGATGGATGCTGTCTTAAAGGTAAAGGAAATGCATACCTAAAAGGTAAAAGCAAATCAAAAACTTAAATATATATAAAAAATTATTTTTCATAAGGAACATCAATGTTGGAATATTAAATAAACAAATAAAAACTATAAATTATCATATTTGGCTCAAATTATAATGTTTTATGGGTCGGAGTTAAAATCGGTCGGTCAAACGTTCGGTTGGTCAAAAGACCTTTGATCGTTGACCGGTTGATTGACCGACAATAACCGACCGTTACCATCCCTATTCACAATTATTGGTACCGCCGTGAGCTTTAATAGCTTTACATATTACATTGAATTATTTTATTGGATAAAAGTCAATGTAAAACTTTCAAGTGGCTTCTTAATCACGTTACGAATCATATAATAAACTATGTTCGTAACTCGATTTTAATAGCAAACCTCCCAAATGTTTCTGATTGAAATATGTTTGTTGCGTGTTATCCTTTTGAAAAATATACCAATACTATTTAAATCTTTGCAGACATTTACAATCGCAAAATAAAATTTCGGTTTATTGCGTTAACTATTTGTTTTAAAGTATATTACCATTGAACATCCATCGTGCTCTTGTATAATCGTTATATTTCTTATAACAACATTTTACAATGAAATAATATCAAAGTAAAAGTTGTTAAATCAATAAGAGATTCAAACATATTCTCTGTGAAGAAATGTTTAATATTATAACATGATTTGTAACATCCCAAAATTGTATTTGTGTGTGCAATTTTATCAATTTTATCACAAAACCAAAATGCTTATATTTCTATTTATTCTTAGATTAATGATTTTACTTATTTGAAAATCTTTATTGCTAAATCATATAATAACAATCAACCTACATTATTTCTAATAAACTAATTAGAGTTTCTGGAATAAAGGATAACTTGCATTGATAACTTGTGCAATCTGCATAGTTTAACTTATTCAATCTTATGCGATTAAGGAACTTATATTACCACTATATGGAGTAAAATGATATTATTATTATTAGAAAGGTTAATCTCAAAAACTAAATTTGTTGTTTAAACTTATTTTATGAATTGTGCGTTACCATAACCTTATTATAATTATTTTATTGAGTTATAATAAAAAAAAAAAATTCATTGGAGTTATGCAAATAACTCAATAAGGCTCTAAGAATTTTTTATTTATTTAAAAAAAAAAATAAACTTGTTACATTATTTTGCTGTATACTAAAATTAGAATAATTTTAAAAATAATAAATAAAATAAGGTTAGCATTTGTTAATTTTAATACTAATATTCAGAATTACATGTTAATTAAATTATGTCGCGAAATTTTGTTTGTTTATTTAAGTATATAATAATAATCTCTATGTTGAGTGAAATAAAATTTTTTTTTCTTTGGGAAACTTTTATTTTCCGTCCCATTTTTATAATAATGTTTGAAGGTAACAATGAAGTTAAAATTTTATAATAAATATATTTTTTATTGATACAAAACTAGAAATAAATCTATCCGGGTACAAGAAGCTATGCCGAATTTTTTTTTTTATGGTATTTCATAGGTAAAGTCATTCCCATTAATTATTACTAAGATTAAATCATTGGTAGAAATCTAAATAATTGTTAAAGCCTCTGCAACTACTGGTCTTTAAAAGGCTATGAAGCTTCCTAATGCGGATATCTCTTCACTCGCTGCTAAGCCTTCTTCAGTAAATAAAACTAGTAGGAGTTCATCTATTTCGTCACCAATTCTCCCATATATAATCGGTCAACAGCAACCACTTAATGGTTGTTTCAAGTTTTAATGAAGGTATTAATGAATTTTAAGAAATCTTATTTCCTTTATCGATATTTAATTTCCATATAATTATAATAAGTATTGCTTAGATAAATAGTATTTGTGATTTAGTAGGAATTTTAAAATAATTTTTATTAATAACAGTAAGTACAATTATTTTGAAAGTGGAATTATTAATTTTCTAGATACCTTTTTTCGTTTATGCATATATAAATTAATCATTTTTTCAATTATTTTTTGTAAACGGATTATGGTATAAAAATTGCCGATCAGTAGATTCTAAACGTTTGGCAGTATAAACGATACAACAATCTGGGCCAAATTTGTCAAAGAAATCGGTGCCGAAAACCTTTAATAGAGTGGGAACGGATTCTTTTTTTTTTTTAATTAACCAACATTTACTTACTTTTCTTTAGGATAGATCAGACTTAATCAAATTAAATCAAGAAAAAATGCTAAAATTTGCTTTACCTTTCTATAAATAGATCGGAATACTTCCATTTATATTTAATAAAATGTTGAATATTTGAATATTTTGTGATCTATTAAGAATTTCGCAAATCAGTTTAGTATTAACAAATTTTTCCATGAATAATCTTGGGATATTTGGCAAATGAGCTTGTTTTTTGATTTCCCCGAGCGTACTAGTACAATTTAATGCCTTATTAGTAAATCTCCGAAAATTACCGTTGATCTTAATTTTTTTTTTCATTTTTTCCTTATGATTAAAATTTACTCGTAAGAATAAAATTAGCTTGAGTCATACTTTCTAACGTCTATATAATGTTTTTAAAATTTTATTGTATAAACATTCATCAATATTAAGCATAAATATACACCAAAATTTCCAAAGAATTTGCGCAACCAGAAAATCTGTAATCGCGTATAACAGCGGAAATCAAAAATAGTTTCATTCCGCAAATGAGTTACGAGCATATTGACTAAATTAATTTGTTATTACTTACCTTTTTTCGTTAAATATATTTTTTTTTCTTTTCAGCTTATTTGGTTAACATACTTTGATTGAAAACCTGCAATTCAAATCCTATGGAGGTTCCAACTTCAGTATGAACACTTTTCTGCAGAAGTATTAATGGAAATATTAAAGATTTTATATGAATGTCTTTAAATATTCGTTGATTGAGAACGTTAAAATTCAAGTGAATTAGTTTGTCTTCTAGAGGCTAATAAATCTAAGTGAATCAAATGTAACATTACTACTTTTACATTGAAAATAATTTTGCCCGAAATTCCGCATGAGCATAGATCATTTGCCAGCCAGGCCAAGTATTCCTAATTATTATTTTTTATAAATACAAGCTGGAAATCCTTAAACAACTTAATATCCACGCTCGCCCTTATTATAATTTGCATACATACATCTAGAAATCCTTTCTTTAACACCTTCGCGATATTTCGCTTTCGCCGTCTTAACTTTTTAGATTTCGTATTTATTTTTTTATTTCCGCTTTATATTATTTTATTATTCAACACTTTGTAATTTTTTTCGTAATTGCGCAGTTTTAATTAATTAGAATTTTATTGATTGGCATTTACTTAGTTTAATATATTACATAGCGAAAGTGTAGAGCGCCGGACGTTGAGTAAATTTTAAATAAATACTTGTCACAATTACTTCATTTTTACTCAATAATTATTCAATTAATAACCTTCTGCTTACATTACAAATTGTTTATAAACGAAAGAACTGAATACAACACTACTTAAAAAGTAAATGGTAAATTAACCAGTTATTAACTTATTAAATGTTTATCAGTTTTGTT